TTTTATCACATACAATTTCAAATTAAATATACTTTTCCTCCTAATCATGATTGGTTGATATTAACGTGGTATTATAATTAATTAAACATTTGGGTGTATCACATTTTACCTCATGCTAGCAAAGGTAGGGTCCAAGGAAGTAGAGAGCCTTCTTCAAGTTTCCTTCAAGTCTCTAATGGTGCCTTGGATCTTCAAGTTCCAACCCATCTAAAGAATGTATGAATGACATTTTCCAAGATGTTGAGGAACCATCTTCTAGAAACTTCTTTGTGCCGCAATTGTGAGGCCACACCTTTTTCCCACGGTCGTAGCATTAAACTTCACTTGTGAGAAAATTAAAAAAAATAAATGATACGGGTGATTAAAAGGCTGCGATTTTTTGCAAAAAAACTACGACTCAGCTGTTTGTAGAGTATTTTCCATCCTTCCATTTATTTCAACTTTGTACTTGCTCCTTCTCTGAAAAGGCAAGATATTGTGATAAATATGGAGCTTGGACTTAATTGAATGATTGAAATGACATCTCAACACTCTAAAAAATAATTCTCCTTTATAAAATGATTGAGCTAAGATTCTTTTCCCCTATTATATACATCACAACACAAGTTTTGAAAGAATTTTAACATGTATAGATACACATATAAGTAAACAAAAAATATATGTTATTTTGTTAAATATTATATTCAACAAAAAATATATATGTATTGTTAGTAGCTAGTTGTTGTGTGTATGTGTAAATAAACAACAAAATAAAATTAAATAATCCAAAAAATAATTATATAAATTAAATTTCGAATTAATTGTATATAGAAATTATAAGTCGAGGCTTGTGTTGGCCACAATCTCCATAAACTAGATTTCACCCTCACTCCGATGCTTTGAGATTTACTGGCGTTTACTTCCCAAGATGCAACGACTACTACTGGGTTTGCAGCACTACAAACTCAAGTCTGGCAAACCAAAACTATGCTGTAACTTTCTCTTTCTCTTCTTAAAAATAAGTACAAGACAGATGTAGGAAACATAAGAACGAAAAGAGGAAGAAAAAAGAAGAAAAAGTTGAAGGAAATTCTACTGAATAAATTGTTGGAATGGCAGGTTATATATAGGAGAACTGGTGGCTTTTCAGAACAACTGTCAACAGATAGAAAACCTGTTCGGACAGATTTAACAGGTAGAAAACCTATTTGGACAAATTTGAATAGAAACAGATCTGTTCAGGTGGAATTAATAGGTATGAACCTGTTAACGTAGAGGAAAAAAAAATTCAGACATATTTATATTGAATTTTGAAAACGAAATTCAAAATTAAATAAATAAAATAAAAATATTTTTGGCCCAAAAAGATAAGTATTGGGTCGAACAAGCCCAACTTAACCTCACACCACGCTCAAGCCCGTGTCCAAGCCCAACCCAGCCCGCCCGAACAGACAGGCCACGACGCGTGTGTGTTTTTGTTTTGGGTCCAATAGGTTTAGCCCACTTTATCCATAACCTCATCCATCTATAAAACTTGGGTACCTCTTGGGGCCTATCGCAAGTATGGCAAGCTAGAGTCTCTATGCCCATATAAATCCTTAAGCCTTTCCAATGTAGGACAAGCACAATTCACAAATATGTAGGAAACCCACCTAAAGCCATTTCCACGAACCCAAAAATGTGCATTGAATTCTCATTTATCCGGAAATGTTTTGAGCAACCAAATACACGATGTTATTCACTACGCGACATTAAACATGAACGCAATTAGTAACGTTAAAAATAATGTTTGGGTCCTACCTTAATTAATGCTCAAAGTTAGCAAAAAATAAATTTTTTTGCAAAGCCATTTTCCAACAATCCCCCACATGAATGTAATTCACGATAACGGACATGTAACAAAATATAGACAAAGAAATAGTACATTAAGAAGATACACCACATCGAGATAGGTAGCTTTTGGCTTTAAACCTCCTCTAGTGAAAGCCTATCGGACTTACTGGCGACCAGTGGACATGATGCCTTGAACTGTTCAGCTGTTTATGTATGATAAGACAATAGACAACACATAGTGTATCCGTAGACACAGTTTGGTTCTTACGGTTGTGTTCATTTTGGCCCTGAATGACACCTGGTAATTCATGAGTGCTCTAGAGAATTTAGCCTTCTCAATTTTTACAGAACCGGCCTAGTTCACACTCATATAGGTAGCTTCTTATTAAGAATATCCTGCCATACCCCACTTGGATGTCCAATCTATAAGCATCATTAAAAGCAAAGCTTATCCTACTAATGCTACAAGTATCACTCTTCTTATCATAAAAATGGATATGAGTAAACCTTCTTAGTGATATATGAAGTCATCCATAATTCGATTGTCCCTTTGAACCTAGATCTTGGGATCTCCAGTCAATTAGGTTGAGTTGTCATTATGGTGACTTTTAAATAATAGGCTTTAATCTCATTCTCCTCGATAAATAGTACACTTGCTCTCTGGCTTGCCCTTTAGTTAATGGATCTGCAATATTCTCTCTTGACTTTACATATTCTATGGAAATTATTCCATGTGAGAGAAAGTGTCGAACGGTATTATGTCTTTGACGAATGTGTCGAGACTTATCGTTATACATATGATTCTGTGCCCGTTCTATTGTTGCTTCATTATCATAGTGAATTCATATAGCTGGCACAGGTTTAGGCCACATTGGAATGTCTTCTAAGAAATTGCAAAGCCATTATGCTTCTTCTCCTATTTTATCTAATGCGATAAACTCAGATTCCACTGTTGACCTTGCTATGCATGTCTGCTTGGAGGATTTCCAAGAGACTGCAACACCTCCCAAGGTAAAGACGTATCCACTAGTGGATTTTGAGTCTATAGTATTCGATATCCAATTTGCATTGCTGTACCCCTCGAGTACTGCTAGATATTTGGTATAATGTAAGCCATAATTTCAAGTATCTCTTAGATACCGAAGTAACCTAATTATCGCTTTCCAATGATCGAATCCTGGATTACTTGTGTACCTACTCAATTTGCTTAAAGCATAGGCTATATCTGGCCTAGTGTAATTCATTAAGTACATCAAGCTTTCGATTATCTGAGAGTACTCTAATTGTGATATGCCTGCACCTATATTTTTTGACAAATGAAGACTAATGTCAACAAGTGTTTTAGCGAGATAGACGTCATGCTTTCCAAATTTCTCTAGAATCTTCTCAACATAATGAGACTGAGATAAAACATATCCTTCAGATGTTCTAGTAATTTTTATTCCTAGAATTACATCTACTATTCCCAGATGTTTCATGTCAAACTTTTTGTTCAATATTTTCTTTGTGAATTTAATCATGTTATTATTGCTTCCAATAATGAGCATGTCATCCACATAAAGATAGACTATGACATAGCCTTTGTCTATGTGTTTAACATAGACGCATTTGTCACATTCGTTTACCTTAAAACCATTCGAAAGCATAACGTGATCAAATTTTTCATGCCATTGTTTTGGAGCTTGTTTTAATCCATAAAGGGATTTGACAAGTTTACAAACCTTTTTCTCTTGGCTTGGAACTTGAAACCCTTCTGATTGTTCCATATAGATTTCCCCATCTAACTTGCCATTCAAAAAGGCTGTTTTAACATCCATTTGATGTATCTCCAGATTATACAAAGCTGCAATCGTAATTAGCATGTTAATAGATGTTATTCTTGTTACTGGTGAATAGGTGTCAAAATAATCAAGGCATTCCTTCTACTTGTATCCCTTAACAACAAGCCTAGCCTTGTATTTATCAATTGAACCATTTGCTTTTATTTTTTTCTTGAATATACACTTATATCCAAGAGGTTTACACCTTGGTAGCAGAACCACTAGTTCCCAAGTATGATTTTGCAAAACTGATTCAATTTCACTATTCACTGCCTTTTTCCACAATAGAGCTTCTGGACTTGACATTGCTTCCTTGAAGTTTTGAGGCTCATTTTTTAACAGGTATGACAGAACATCTAGACCAAATGATTTAGAGATCCTAGCCCTCTCGCTACGTCTAGGTTGATCTACTTCATTATCATTTTGGTCTTCACTATCACTCATAGCAATATCAAAAGTTCTTTTATTTGAACTTGTCTTTTCAGTTTCCTTGCAACGAAAAATGTGACGATAACGGACATGTAACAAAATATAGACAAAGAAATAGTACATTAAGAAGATACACCACATCGAGATAGGTAGCTTTTGGCTTTAAACCTCCTCTAGTGAAAGCCTATCGGACTTACTGGCGACCAGTGGACATGATGCCTTGAACTGTTCAGCTGTTTATGTATGATAAGACAATAGACAACACATAGTGTATCCGTAGACACAGTTTGGTTCTTACGGTTGTGTTCATTTTGGCCCTGAATGACACCTGGTAATTCATGAGTGCTCTAGAGAATTTAGCCTTCTCAATTTTTACAGAACCGGCCTAGTTCACACTCATATAGGTAGCTTCTTATTAAGAATATCCTGCCATACCCCACTTGGATGTCCAATCTATAAGCATCATTAAAAGCAAAGCTTATCCTACTAATGCTACAAGTATCACTCTTCTTATCATAAAAATGGACCTTAGCCATCCCAAACCTTATCATCATAGTATTTCGCCCTTCATTTGTACTTCCACCACCAACCCCACTCCCCTTGTGTTGCCTCAACCCTTCTCCACCCTATCCTCCATTACCCATCCCTACCCTTCATTTCTTTTATCTTTGGCTGCAGATGGCCCTATAACATACATCTTCAGCATTTTGACGACTCTTAGCTATACGTCTACTCAACAATCGTGGTATGCATTGTCTCACACAAGCTTTAACTCCTCCACGAGCTTGGACGATCTCAATCGATGCGGACATGAAAATTATTGCAAAGAGAAGCATAGCCACAATCGCAACTTTGTTGGAACCCATTTTCTTTTGATTTTGTAAGTCTTCTTGAATGTGAATTAAAAGTTTGTAGATTTAAATGTGCTTGCCACAAGCAATGGAGGATGAACTTGAAGAAAATGAAGTTCTTTATAGTTGGCAAAGTTGATATTTTTGGATTGCATTAATGCTTGGTTCTATATATAGTTTTTCCGGTTGTTTTCCTTTTCAATTCAAAGCTTTGGAAATGATGGGTTGTGCCAACACGTATATATAATTTGTAATAGACTTGTGCGATGCACAAGCTAAATATATATATACCAGAATATAATATTTGACAATTTTATTTAGTTATATGTTTATGTATATATATATGTACAATTATTTCAAAACCGATGTTGCGATGTGTATATTATGGGAAAGAATATTAGATCAATCACTCTACAAAAGTCTAAATCAAATAAATTCATCTGATAATTTTAGTTAAATTACTTGTGTTTCTCTAAGTGTATGAATAAGTAAGTGTAAATTTATTAAAATTTTATGCTACGAAATAATCAATTGTTGAGAACAATCTTAAAAACATCGTTCTATAAATTACGAAAATTGTAACGATTGAAATTTTTTTTAAATCTTAAATATTGAATGTACGATAAAGTCCTAGATTATTCCTATTACTTCAGTGTTTGACATATACATTGATTTTCATCAATAAAGTTTTTGTTTTGTTGATGAAAAAATAAAATAAAATTTGAACCCTCATTGATTAACCTTTCTATTTAATCGATCGTCTCAATTTACGTACATCGATTCTCATTTGGAATCCAAATTTGAGGGACAAACTCCCTGGATCTAGAAGATGGGGTCATAGTGTTAGTATAAGGTATCTTGGTAACATAGAATAATTATGCTGAATTACGAATTGAAATGAATAGGATGAAGACCAATTTAACATAATTTTAAAAACTCAAAAATAAAATTTGACTCAATTGAAATTATATTTGACAAATTGATGCATGGGAAGGTAGTTTAGAGGGAACTCACAAAAGAAACAATGTGACATTGCGAGATTTTTATGTTCTTTCCAATGAAAATAAAAGAAAAAACTTGTCATTGAAGAACTAATCTTAAAAGAAGCCATACGATTGCATATACAATATGAGTATATCCTCTAAAAAATTACAAAAAAAAAAAAAAAGAAAAAGAAAAAAGAAAAAAGAAAAAAAAAGAAGGGAAAATGAAAAAAGAAAACTAGACTATGGTTGGAACCTTGCTTGCCATTGTAAAACCTTCTGTTTGAAGACTAAGAATAAAAAAACATAATAAAATAAAAGAGCGAAAAGTGATTTCCTTTTTGTATTGGAAGATTACACATCAATTTAGCTTAGCCACTAAATCCTCATTAGCCACAAATTAAACTTACCAATCCAAGTGCCCAAATTCAATCCAAAATAAGACAAAGTAATCTTAACCATACATTCAATTCATTCTTTTATATAGTTGGGTCATACAAAATTAATCTTACTTTGTACTTGTTTTAGAGCTAATCTACCCTTCTCATTTATGTGTAAGGAAATGTGTAAGTTGTTTACGTATACGAAAGTAGAATAATATTTGAGAGAGAGAGAGAGAGTCCATGAAGGTTAAAAATTATTCTACAAAAGTTTTCCTCCAAAACCCCTCCCAAATTTTGCATAACTATAATACAGTTTTGTAACACCCAAGTCATGTATTGCATTCATGCACTCATTCATCTTAGGAATTCTCTTATTTTGATTTGTGTTGAATATGTAGAGTGCTACCTTAGAGGATAACTTAGGATTTTTAAGTAAGAATAGGAATACCTTTGATGGAAAACTTAGGAGTGTTAGTGCTTGATAGCAAAGCCTAACGAGTCTAGAAAAATTTGAACATAGAGATTTGGTAAGTATTGTAGAGTTAAGAAATTCATCTTGAATTTGAATATTGAACACTTAGATGTTTTAGGAAAGCTTAATTGTGGAGCTTGATAATCTTAGTTTAATGAGTAGAGTTTAGTGAATACCCTATTGAAAATTATGTGGGATTAGTAAAAACTAAGTGCCATTAATTAAGTTTAATGATGATGAGGAATTAATCTTGATTAATTAGAACTAAGCTTGGTTAATTAAGCTAGTGGAGCAATAAGTGAAACACTTAAGTAAATTAATCCTTTTACGTCAAACAAAAGAGAAAGAATTAGAAGAAAGAAGAAGCTTAAGAAGAATTGAGAGTTGTGTTCTTGAAGAAGAAGAAAAGAAGAAAAAAGAGGGAGAAAGAAATAAAATAAAAAAGATTGAAGATCTAGGCTTGGAAAATCAAGGAAAATTCACTAAAATGTAAGAAACTTCACCCTCTATCTTGTGTTATTGATTTAATATAGCAAAAAAATCATTTGAGATAGGTTTTGAGGAGATTGAAATGAAGAAAATAGAAAAAAGTTTGGAAAGAACTAGGTTGGAGAGTTCTTGGATTTAATCTTGATTTTGGTTAGTCTAACTTTGAACTTATTGCATACAAATGATTTTCCATGGATCTTGTATCATTATTTCATAGTTTGGAACCTTAGACATGATGTTTTGAAGCATTGAAATTGAAGAGATGGCAGAGAGTTAGAAAAGAGAGTCTTTGAGGATTTTAGTGAGAAAATCATGTTTTGATTCATTAAACTTTGAATTCATTGCATATAACGTTTTTCTATGAATCATACATAATTTATTCATATTTTCATACTGTAGATATCATGTTTTGAGACTTTTATGTGAAGAAATTGAAGCTAGAAACACTAAGAACACCAAAAATAACTTTAGCCAGAAATTCTGCTCAACGACCGTACGTGTGGCCAAGTCTACCACACAAGCAACCAAGTCCAAATCAGCCCTCATGACTACTGTACGTGCAGCGAAGCCATTACACAAGTGGTCATTCCCACCGCACTTATGGCCAACTGAGTTCATTACCAAAGCCTTTATGACAACCATAATTTCATTTAGTTGAGAACATGAACAAGAATAAATAATAACGTTCTCTCATGACAACAATAATGATATAAATAAGATATGGTACAATGCCCTTAGGCTTACATTGAATGACAATAAACAAAACGAAAAGGGGTCTACCCTTATACAATACACGGCACACGACCAACAAGTAAAAGGCCCTGTGGCCAACAATTAAAAACTTCAAGTCATGCACGATTCCTCTTGCCTTGTACCTGAAAGAGTTTATCAACATATGGGATGAGCACTAAGCCCAGTAGAGATTCCAAAGACCCTAACCAATCACAACATATAGATAAAAATGATCATGAATGCATCAAGACATACCATATAATTCATGTGACATTTAATATCCAAAATATACACATATAACTGTATTTTTCTCAAAACGTTCCTCTTGACACAATTCAGTATAGAATCAATTCTTCTTTTTCACACTCCTATCATTACTTCCAAAATAAAATATTTTAAAACCTCATTCTTTCTTTGATAAAACTTCTCACATTAACATAAAAGAATCTCACTTGAACCACCATTCTAAAAATGTAGCCTCACATGCAAATCATAATCCACATCCTACTTCTCAATACGTTAGAAGCATTTACAACCCAATATATATATCTACGACCTTCCCTAACCATAGGCCCAAGGATTTAAAAAGGATGATTGATTTGAAAACCTTTAACATATATGTACATTCAAACGGGATAGATGAAGTAATACATACTACCAATCTTATCTCCATAATTTGAAAATCGACAACACGTATAAATATTCAACCAAGAGAACTGAAGTAATACATACTACCAATCTCCTCTCCACCGGCCTGCAACATGGATGACAGATCCAACAATACCAATAACACATAACAATTTTCCGACCTCACCCAAAAGGAGGTGCTCCTCAGGTCATACTTTACCGAGCGCAAACTAGAAGGGAACGAAGAACCTATCACAAGGCGCCACATTTTGTCGGCTAAGATACGGTGGGAAACGAACCCCCTTTTCACACTTTACTGGGCACAAACCAGAAGGGACGAGGAAACCTCTGTCAAGGCACCACGCTTTGCGGGCCAAAATACAACGAGAAATGGACCCCCAAACAATATCACATTAAAAGCATAACCAACTAATCAACAGAATACTACACGGGTGTAATACACACACCTAGTTCAATTATCATCGTAATAGCCATAATCCGTTAATTACATTAACTCATTTTTTTTTAAAAATATACTCCGCAAACCATTGTTCCACACACGTTTCCTTTATTTCAAACATTCCCAAAACACATCATGGAGAACTACACCTTAAAACCATAATTATTCAACAATAGTCTCATAATAGAAACAACATTTATAAACGTTCCAATTACCTCTTTAACAACATAGTCCATAGCTTAACAATGGAACTGTCTATTCATAATGTTCATTTATCATCAATAACATACCATTCAACATCACATTAACATCTGGTCGTAGTACTCATAGTCTATATCTAGCAATAAGTAATACCATCCTCCACTGATGGCCAAAGACAAAACTCTAGACACCAATCACATAATCCAAAATATTAAATACACCCTTAGGTAATTCCAAATTCTCGTCCATTGCAAACTCTCATGTTTTATAAAAGGTAGTTAAATCCCAATTTGTTTTATAAAGATAGAATTCCTCTATTCCAATTCACAGCACACACAAAAATAACCAAAACCCACTATCATTAACCCAAAAATCCAAATTTGGTAAACAACCAAAACATAACCTCCATTTCCAATTAACATCAAGATTTTCTCCAACGTTCTAAAATTTATGAATAAAACACCATATCTTTCCAATCCCATATCCCAAACATGCTTTTACAATGCACAATGAATAATAAACATAACCCATAAATCCACCAAGTAAACCCAAATCAAACCATATGCTTTTTAACAAAATCAACCATAAATTATGCTTTTAAATGTAGTAAAAATACCACAAGTCTATCTATAGCGATGTATTGAAAAGAAGCTCAAGAATCCCTACTTCTTGAAGCGAAGAGGAGAAAAGTCAAAAATCCACCAGTGATGAAAACACGATCCGCTTAGATTAAATCGAAACCCTCGCGATCCTCCACATTTTGATCTTTAGGACTAGGGGTAGAAAATAGGTGTAACTAGATAAAACCCAAGCTTTAGGTCCAAGAAACCCTAAAATGGAAACAAAAGGAAGAGAGGAGAGAGAGAAGGCCATTGTACCTCCACCACACATGCAGCCAAATCAACCGCACGTGCCCCCAAACAGAGCACTTGCTTGACTCGAGCCCTTTTCACTTGTTTTGATCCACCAAGCTCCCTTGAGCGTGTTTCATACCTAAAATAAAATTAATGAAACTTAGAAACCAACTTAAAAAGAGATAAATTTAGAAAAGAAAGTTGAAATTTAGTTAACACATTCATTTCGCATTTCACTTTATCTATGTTTGTATGCTTGATGTGTAGGTCAAGGTCACAAGGAATATACCCTATGCACAAGCCATTGTGAGTAATATTATTGTAAAATTATGTTTTAAAATGGTTGTTTGGAAATTCGATGATATATGCTCTTTTTGATGAAGAATCTATTTGGTATTAGCATGAATGAATGTCCTATATTTTCATATGAAGCTATTAATTGCATCCTTAGATAGTCCTAACAATTGGAGGATGCCTTCATGCACCATTGTCCATTACTGAGATCTCCTTCGCCACCTAAGGGTTGATTGGTTAATTGATATCCGGGTCGGTTATTCCTTTGTTTCATTTTAATGGATGTACCATGCTATTATGTTATGAAAATGATATGTTCTTGTGACAAATGTTGAATGCTTTTGAATTAGGATATAATATTTAAGGATTGTATAGTGGATTCTAGCTAAATCCTAGTTATATTGCTTTAACTTTGATTCTCTTTATTTCTTGCGCTTTCTTGGAAGCCAAACATGGTCTTCCCATTTGAAAATGATTGAGATCCACTCTCTCAATCCTTTGTTACATTGACATGGGAATTCATGCTGATTTCCATGATGTAGGGAGGGAATTTCTTCCATTTTCTATGTTGTATCTTTCTTTTCCTATTTCCTTTACCCATAACAATAATTTTGTTTTCTAATATTGTTAAGTGCCACATTGTCGAACCAAAAGGACTATTCTTAATGCAACATTGTGAGCGCGATTTTGATGGTCCGCACAATAAATTGTTGGCCAACAACTTAACATTGGCTATCAACGGTACTAAATTAATACAATTAAAAATTTCATGAGCAAAATCAAGTCAAACAAAATTATAGCAACCAAGTTGATGTAAAATGTATATTGGTATATTATCAGGATCACTAATGCAAATTGTCCCATAACAATGAAATTTTTTTTTTTGATCGGCAAAAAAAAACTTTATTGATGACAACATACAAAGTATGGAATAGTACATCAATAAAGAGGAGCTTGGAGCTAAGACAAAGCTCCAAGTGCCAGTTGGTGAGGAACCAACCAAAAAAGATGAAGAGGAGAAAGAGATGGGAAAAAAACAGTAGAAAAACAAAACTAGTAACATACACCAAGTTACACCACACAGCACTACCCTCAGGTGGATTAGCCCCCAGCTGAATCAATTAACTTCGAAATTCTGAAACACCCTCCACTGCACAGGTCAAGAACAAAACTCCTCTGCACATTCTGAATCAACCTCCTCTGAAGCATCCACCCCTGCTAATTCTAAGATCATACCATGAGCTGCATCAAGCTGAACACCTCACTGAATGAAAACAGAATTCAGTCTTATTAATACAATTCAGACCAAAGGCCCAGCCAAAGGCAAAACATAGAAGCCTTTGAACACCAGACTTCAGCACTGGCCAACTGAAAACATAACAAAACATATACCCAACAGATCATCATTTCATACCCATAAACCAGAAAAACTCAGACTACACATCATGCATCCACCAGACTAAGCTAAAACTGAGCAGGACCAAGGCCATCTCAAAACAGATTCAGACCAGCACATCAAATTCATCTCAACACAGCTTCAGGAACAACAACATAAAGCAGCCCAATTGAACTCATAATACACCAGCTTAATCAAACAGATCAGAATCCAAATAAACACAGATCCATCTCAAAACAGATCAGAATTAGCACATAGCATACCAGGGCTCATGCACAGAACATCAGAAGACAGCATATACCAGAACTTATGCATAACATTTTTCAGTAGAGCAACAAAATCAACCCACAGAGCTTTACTATGCCAGCACTTAACTACACACAATGACAGACTTGACACAGATTATATATAATATCATGCACCGAATAATTAAACCCCTTCAAAGATGAGGAAGCCCACATAGCTACTCTAACCTTTATTAGCTCTGCCAAAGCAATCCAATCCGGTTGCACCTTGTTAAATACACAGTCATTTCTGCTTCTCCACACTGACCACATAACTACTACCGGCAGTGTTTTCCAGACTGTTAGCATCTTCTTCTTCATTTTTATACCTGGCCATGACAGAAATAAACCCTCCACTGATCCAGGGCTAACCCATTTGTAATTCCACCAGTTCACCAAATTGGCCCACAATTTCCAAATGAAATGGCAGTGAAGTGCCTAGTGAAGTGCCTTGTGGGATTGTTAGGCTGTGTTTGGCTAATCTTCAAGAGGTTATTTTGGGAACTAAGCTCTCAGTTCTCTTCCCTGCCATTCCACTGGCTGTTGTTGCAGAGTGTTATGGGTTTGGAAGAGTGAGTTTTTCTTGTTTGGCATTATTAGGGTTTTGCTTATAAAACAGTCACTACAAAAAATTAAGGTTTTAAAAATCAAAATTTAGGGGCAAAATTATTTTTTAGAAACTAAATATTTTTATTTCGAAAAGTGTCGTTATTATATATTTTGTAATAAAAATTAGACATTAGTGATGAATTATTATCTTTTTAGGACCAAATTTTTTGTCTCATGAAATAAATCATTTTCAGACTAAATTATTTTGTCCCTAAAAATCTATTTATTAGTTATTTTCAAAATTTTGTCGCTAAAAGATTTATTTTTTACTTTTTAGTATGACCTTTTAGAGACTATTCCCATGACGATAGAAATTAGTTCCTAAATGTTTTTTGAAACAAAATTTTCACTTTTAGACCAAAATATTTGGTTTCTAAAATTCTTATATTTTGTAGTGAGTGAAATTTTACTACAAATATGAAAACAATGATAATTGAGTTATAAAATATTTTTCCTTAATTTTTATGTCAATTTGTTCTAAAACATTTTCAGTATCCAATGCATTTCAAATAATTGTAATAAAATCTGACCTGTTGATCCCTTGGCTTTTTCAATGATACAAACGTATACAAGTAAATACGATATTGAGATTTCTTCAAAAACGTAATTGGCTTCCAAGATCATTTCTGAATCTAAGCTTTTATTAGTTAGTCGTGGTAAAGTACCCAAGTGGCGTATTTTTTTAAAATGAGGTCTTCAGTAACGTGACATCAAAACTCCTTATTCTTAATTGATATTAATTTTTTTTATTTGAAAGTTCATTTTACTAAATAAACCTAAATTAAAATTGAACTAAATAATAAACGAAGCGAAACCCTGGAAGTTTTGTACTAGAAAGAATAATAAAATGAATTATGTAATTATGTTTTCCAAACTCTTGTAGCTCAAAACTCTTTTGTAAGTTAGTAATTGTGAATATTTTAAAATAAGGAACAGATAAATTTGAGAATAGAAAATCGTTCATTGTTTTTTTTTTTTTGAGAATAGAAAATCATTCATTGTTCAACCGTGTTGAGAAGAGTTTTGTTCTACTCTCAACAGCTTCTGTTCTGTGTTTTTGTTTTGCTTGTTCCCCCTTGGTTGGTTTCTCTCCAACCTCTTGGCTCGAGCTAGCAGTTGATTGTGCAGTCTCCTTGGTGCCAATCTAGTTGGGATTAGGGAGGTTTGTGCTGATATTTTTTGCTCTTGTCTTCCCTCTTTGTTGATGTGTACCAAGATGTATTTTGTTTTGTTATCATCAATACAGAGTTTATCGCTGTTCAAAAAAAAAGTGTAACTTGCCACCTGAAAGATCTGCGAAATAGTGTATTTTACTCCCTAAAAGAGCAAGTAGTTTAGAGGGAAATTTCTAAAAGTGATTAAAAATCCAGGAGGCAATTTGCTCCAATTTGATCTTAGGGCGGTCAATTGCACTTTTGAAGTTCATGAAATAATTTGTTTCAATTGATCTTTCAATATATCGATTATACATTTGAGCATCTTTCAGGGTGCAAATTGTCAATAGCCCAAAATATATATATTTTGTAACTCTTGTTATGTAATTCATTCATTGTGTTATTCAACAGAAACAAGCATATGTGAATTCCCTGCTGTTGTTGCTGGCTCTTCTGTGCCACATGCTGCCCTTGATGTTCCGATGCGCCAGGAAATTGGAAGCCGAGACTGCAAAACCAACAATTGAGTTGTCAAGAGTGAGCAGCATTGTAATGCTTGTTGTCTACTTTGCTTACCTTGTGTTCCAGTTGTGGACTCACCGGCAAATGTTCGAAGCCAAGGAGGTAAAATTGATTATCCTTGAGACTTTGTTTGGCAACAGCTAAAAAGTTATTTGTTAAAACTTTTCTTACATTCCAACTAGGCTACATTTATAATTAAAACTATCATTTGAACCAACCATATGCTCTAATTTAGGAAAAATAGGTAAAGAGCTAATAATAAGACGTGCATGAGCAGGAAGGAGAACAAGATGATGATGTGACCGCAGAAGAAGCTCCGGTGATCAGGTTTGCTTGGCTAGTCGGCATGACTGCTGTCAAAGCTTTATTGCTTGAGAACGTCGTGGGCACAATTGAGGTAAATGAGTTTTAACATGCTTAGTTTTTGCATTAACCGGAGTCTCGTGAGTCTCGTGCACTAAGTCGTCTTTTTTGTTACGTTTTGAACATACTTCATTTAAATTAATTCAATTCCTTTAATTGATTCTATTCGAATTTGAGGATGGTTTTGTGCCACCAATGTCATGTAAAACAAAGCAAAATGGTTTCATTTCTTGGCATTCAAACAACCAGTCTCTTGTAGGAAGCTATTCTTAAAGTCTAACAATTTCTGATAAATTAAACCAAATTAATGACTTTTTTTTTTTTTATTTAAAAAGGATGCATCAGCATCTTGGGGAATCTCTGTCAGCTTCATCAGCATAATCTTGTTGCCAATTGTTGGAAATGCAGCCGGACACGCTGGAGCAATCATATTTTCCTTTAAAAACAAATTGGTCAGTGATGCATTAACTGCCCTCTTTTTTTCTTTTTAATCTTTAATTAATGAATGAATGAATTAATTAATTTATTTATTTATTTGTTTTGGGGAGTAATTTGGTTGTGCTAATTACAGTTTTTTTGTTTTTGTTTTTGTTTTTGTTAATAATGCAGGATATAGCTTTGGGGGTTGCTTTAGGATCTGCAACACAAATTGCAGTGCTTGTGGTAAGCATTTGTAATGAATCCGAACCAAAAATGGTATATATAGTTCTTGATCAAAGATTTAGTTTGAGAGTTTTTCTTATATATTGTTGTTTAAATAAAAATTAGGTTCCATTAAGTGTGATTGTTGCTTGGATAATTGGGATCAAGATGGATCTTGATTTCAATCTTATTGAAACCGGCTCTCTTGCTCTTGCGATTATAATCACAGCCTTCACTTTACAAGTAAGATCTCATTTTTTTTTTTTTTAAATTAAAAAAATCTGTGGTTTTATTTACCAGTCAATTTTGTAAATTAACATATTGTCTTATTAATGTTAATGTTTTAGGATGGAACTTCTCACTACATGAAAGGATTGGTTCGTTTGCTGTCCTACATTGTTATTGCAGCATGTTTTTTTGTTTGTCAAACACCTCTGAGTAAGTACTTATGATATATTTTAGATTTTACATTGAAACTCTTTTTCTTTTTTCCTTTTTTTTCCTTCTTTGTATAATTTTTTTAGCACCAAAATTCATGAACAAAAAAATGAGTAAACATCATTTGTTTTATTTTGTTTTATCTTCTGTCTTATATTTATCACATATTATCATGTCACCAAAATCAATAGTTAAAAGAGTATTAGACAAACAATGAGACATAGAGTAAGACAAATGATCCTATGCCTAGAAAAATACTAAAAAAAGAGAATAATATTTGGTCAAGATTCTTTTTAAGTGTGAGTTTCAAAATTGAATCTAAATCATATATTATTTTTTTTAGATAAATTCATATGTCTAAATTCTGGTCCATAACTTTATTTTTTTTTTTTCAAAAACATATATTATGATTTGACATTAAGTCATATCCTTATTTTGTCCTTCAACATGTCCTCCAGACCAAGCAAATCTCATCAACTTGGGAGTTCAAAAGTCATCAACTTGCGGAATCTTCAGAGTGATAGCTAGGTAAGTTAACTCAAAGGGAGCAGTGCTCCGGCGTGGGAGTTCCGGCCATAGAGTCCGAGTAGCAGCACAGCAGAACGTGGCAGTTCCGGCCATAGGCGAAGTTTCAGTGTTCCGGCCATAGAGTGAGTGAAGCCCGATGGAGATGTCAGGCGTGGGAGAAGGCTGGTGGAAGGAGTTCTTTAGGCGTGGGAGAAGGCTGGTCAGGAGCAGGACAGCTATGAGTGCTCTATACTAGTAGGAGTGCAAGGGGTTGGACAAGGGGTTTGCCGGGTTTGTGCGGCGGTGGAGGCTTTACACCGTGTGGTAGATTATACTAGTAGGAGTGTTAATGGGAAGGTTACGGATCATTTGGCCAGCAAGGAGTTTTTCCGGCCATGTTGGCTATGGAGTTTTCCGGCCATGGAACGTCCTCGGTCGGATCAGCAGGCGTGCAGCAGGCGTGGGTCTTGGGTCTTGGCGTGCAGCGTGCAGCAGGCGTGGGTTGTTGGAAAGAGTTTGTTTGGGTGGCGTGGGCATTGGGAGTGAAAAGTTTTAGTTTAAAAATATGTAAAGCAGGTGGGCGTTGGGAGTGAAGCAGCTTGGTTTTGGTATTGGTTTTTGGCTTTGGGCCGTGTGGATTGATTTCATGGGCATTTATGTATTTTATTTTTTAGTTAAATTTTCTTAATTTTTTTTTTGTTTAAAAAAATTCGTGAGATTAAGGGATTGGTTGTATGGACGCGAGTAGTAGTAATAAGGTAATTTGTACTTTCTGAATATCTCTCAATTTATGTCATCTTTTTATATCTTTAATTTTATACTATTAATGAAATTTTTCTTTGCTAAAAAAAAAAAAAATATTTAAAATTTGGGTTAAATTTTTTTTTTTTTTAATTAAAAAAAATTTTTTTTTTTAAAAAAAAAAAAAAAAAAAAAAAAAAAAAAAAAAAAAAAAAAAAAAAAAGGGTAAGTTAACTCAAATGTTAGAGACATATAAATGCAGCACCTCAAATCTTGTAAAATTACTATTCAACCTATACTTTTGAAAAACCTTTACAATTTACCCTCTTTGAAATTTCATTTAGGCTCCCCTAATCTTTCATAGCATCTTTTTTCTTCTGTTTATTTAAAAAAAAAAAATCTCCCCAAATTGATAGTTTGTTTATGTATAGAATTATGTTTTCTTTTCGAAGTGCAGAAAAAACAAAGAGTACATGTAAAAATTTCTTAAATTTTGAAAGTCTAACCCAACTAAACCAAGCTTAACTAAACAGGCTAACCCATTTCTTTCCCTTGATAAAACCCTCTCAATCTATATCTTAAAAAAATATTTTATTCACCCGCTTCACAATAAAACTAGACTGGACCTATCTGTTTCATTGTCTTAATAAAAGCGTCCGGATCCTCTAGAGTGGGATTCCCTGAAGTGATCCCTTAAGTGAGCTTAATAAAATGCCCTTTGATATAAATCTTGAATATAATATTATCCTTTGATTGGTTATTTCAAAGTAATGGACTCCAGTGAAAAAAGTCAATCAGAGAAAGAGATGGTAATAATCTCGATCCGTAATTAGCTATTAATCAGTAATTAAAGATGCTAATTGAGTGGATCAAATAAATTATGAGATTAATATGCAAATTGCATGATATTTGGCTTTCTATCTATTACTTATAGAAATATCTGTTTAGAATTTCCACTTTAATATGTAAATTGAAAGTCTTATCGGCATCCAAAATCGAAATTGATCACGTCAATATGTTATTTGGAATTTTTACAACTATACGGCAAATTTTATTAAAAATTGATTCAGTCTGATTCATTAAGTCATGTTTAGTTAGCCTAATATTCTAATTGATGTGTTTTAGCACCATAATCATATATATGAAATATAAGCTCATCTAGGGGTGTACACGGTCCGGATTGGTTCGGTTCTGAGAAAATCCAAGAACCGAACCGATCCTAACGGTTCTTGCCCGGCACGGCGCCGATTTCTATGGCACCTTATCGTTTTGCCCCAGCTGAGTTAGTTGAGTTGAAGATCCAACTCCAGGAGTTGCTAGATAAGGGCTTTATACGTCCTTGTGTTTCGCCGTGGGGAGCACCAGCCCTCTTTGTTAAAAAGAAAGGAGGCGCTTTGAGACTTTGTATAGATTACCGGAAATTGAATGGGGCTACGGTTAAGAATAAGTACCCTATGCCTCGTATAGATGATCTGTTTGACCAGTTGAAGGGTTCCCGTTGTTTCTCTAAGATAGACTTGAGATCGGGTTACCACCAGTTGAGGGTCAGGGAAGAGGATATTTTGAAGACGGCATTCCGTACGCGGTATGGCCACTATGAGTTTCTGGTGATGCCATTTGGGCTCACCAATGCACCGGCAGTTTTTATGGATTTGATGAACCGGATTTTCCGGAAATTCTTAGATCGGTTTATAGTCGTTTTTGTGGATGATATCCTTATCTATTCGCCTTCTGAGGAGGAGCACGAGGAACACTTGAGAGTGGTGCTTGAGTTACTTAGAGCCCATAGGTTGTATGCCAAGTTTGGGAAGTGTGAGTTCTGGCTGAGAGAAGTCAAATTCTTAGGCCATGTGGTATCCGGTGAAGGAGTGTCTGTTGATACATCCAAGGTAGAGGCAGTGCAAGATTGGGCACAGCCTAAGAGTGTGTTTGAGATCCGCAGTTTTTCTGGGGTTAGCTGGGTATTACCGTCGATTTGTGAAAGATTTCTCCAGATTAGCTTCGCCTTTGACTAGGTTGACTCGGAAGGGAGTCAAATTTGTATGGAGTGAGATTTGTGAAAATTCATTCCAGGAGTTGAAAGTTAGATTGACTACCGCTCCAGTATTGATTATTCCAGAGAGAGGGTTGGGTTATACAGTCTATTGTGACGCCTCACGAGAGGGTCTGGGTTGTGTGTTAATGCAAGAAGGGAAAGTAGTTGCCTATGGCTCACGTCAGTTGAAAATTCACGAGCAAAATTACCCTACGCATGATCTAGAGTTAGCAGCTGTGATATTTGCCTTGAAGATTTGGAGGCATTATCTTTATGGTTGGAGGAGGGATTTGAGGGTTATGTGTCTCGGAAATCAGTAAGGTGCTGGAATAGGTTGTTGGTGTGTAGCACGAGGGGGGGGGGGAAAGGAGCTTGTGAGACGTTGGCGAGAGGAGGGTGGAGTGGGAGGTTTGAGAGAGGGATTTTATGGAGACTTCGTGGAAGGGCGAGTTATCATTCTGGGGATGAAGGCCATACTGGGGTGGCGGACGACCGCGTTTGCAGGGAGGACGCTTGTTGGTGGACGGAGAGGGCTGAGTGATTTGGGTGGGCCTATGCGGCGAGAAGGTGGGAGGAGTGGGAGGGGGGTGCAGTTGTGAAGAGGTTTGGATGTGGCTGTGTCTGGGGTGCGGAGGGGGGTGGGAGGTGCCGAGAGAGGTGTGGGGGGGGCGGCCGGTAGTTTCTGTTGTGTTGGGCGGGCAGGACCGTACGCACTGTGTGGTAACTCGAGTTGGTTTAGGAGGCGCTGGGCGAGGGAGGGGGGGAGCGAGGCCTGAGGTGAGAAAGTCGCTCCGTGAGAAGATTTCGGTGGGGAAGGTTGAGAGAGGGTTTGACGGGTGATGATTGCCGACGCCGTAGATGGTGGTAGGAGATAGGCACTGAGACCGTCTGGTGTGTGTGCCGGAGTCTTGCAGAGACAGGAGAGTACTTCGAGAGTTTCATCATTACGGCGCTGTGCGGCGGTGCATCCGGGAGTTTTGGAGGGTAAAGGATGTATAGTCGGTGGGAGTTGGTGGGTCGCCGAGTGTTTTGGTGTGGGGGGGTATTTGTGAAGGGGAGAGAGGTGGCGCAGGGCTGTCGTGTGATGGGTGTAGAGTGCCTTACTTGTCATGCAGTGTGAAGGGACGAGACAGTCGAGGCCGAGGCGGGTTTGTTGGGACCGCGTTGGGCCTATTGCGCGAGTGGAGAGGGGGTGGGGAACATGGTGCGACTATGGGAGCCGTGCGTGTGGGAGGTGGCTGTTCCCGCGAGACCACGGGGTAGTGAGCTAATTTGGGTAGTGTGGACCGGTGACTAAGTCGGCGCATTTATGTCCTAATGCGTGTTAAAGATTCAGTGATCATCTTGCCGACTTGTACATTAGGGACATAGTGAGGTTTCACGGGGTTCCAGTGACGATTGTCTCAGATAGAGATCCTCGTTTTACTGCCAGGTTGTGGGAGAGTTTGCAGAGTGCCTTAGGCACTAAGTTGACCTTTAGCACGGCTTATCATCCTCAGACTGACGGGCAGTCCGAGCGTACTATTCAGATCCTTGAGGATATGCTTCGGGGTTGTGTTCTAGACTTTAGTGGGTCGTGGGAGAGGCACTTGCCGTTGGTGGAGTTTGCCTACAACAACAGTTTTCAGTCTAGTATCGGTATGGCACCATTTGAGGCCTTGTATGGCCGACCGTGTAGATCTCCTATGTGTTGGGCCGAGGTGGGCGATGCACCTCTGTTGGGTCCAGATTTGGTGAGCGAAACGACGGAGAAAGTTGAGCTTATTCGTAAGAGGCTTGTTACAGCACAGAGTCGTCAGAAATCGTATGCCGACCGTAGGAGGAGACCTTTGGTGTTTGAGGTGGGTGATCATGTCTTTCTGAAGATATCACCTAGACGGGGTTTGATGAGGTTTGGGAAGAGTGGGAAGTTGTCCCCTCGGTTCATTGGTCCGTTTGAGATCCTTGAGAGGATTGGCGAGGCTGCTTATCGTTTAGCTTTGCCGCCGCAGTTGTCCGGAGTACATGACGTGTTTCATGTGAGTATGCTTCGGAAGTATGAGCCGGATCCATCACATGTGTTGGATTGGACCGATTTGGTAGTTGATGAGGATGTTTCATATGAGGAGAGACCGATTCGAGTCTTTGATAGGCGGGATCAAGTTTTGCGAGGCAACACCATCCCTTTGGTCAAAGTTTTGTGGAAACACCACGGAATGGAGGAAGCCACTTGGGAACATGAATTGGAAGTCCGCGAGAAATATCCGGACATGTTTGTTGATTTGTAATCTTATAATTAGATTCTGTTATATTGTTGAACTTAAGAGCTTTACATATGTCTTAAGTTGTAAAACATTGAGTATGTTTTGGTGAATGGGTGTATCTTGAAACTTGTTTCATCATAGAAAGATTAGTGTAACATTGTATATGTGGATTACATTGTTGGATGTGGTATATATATCATGCAGTTAAATATGATATGAGATTGTTAGCATTGAAAGGAATAATGCATAATAATGATACAGATTGAAATATATTTTGTGTTATATATTTGGTATGAGATGTCTCTTGATAAAGAGATGAAATGACCAGTTTTGGGTCAAGATGTTTACTAATGAATTGTTTAAAAAAAAATCGGTTATAAAAAAAAAAAACTTATGCTTAATTTCGGGGACGAAATTCTTTGAAGGGGGGGAGGTTATAGCGACCCCGATTTTTTCCCATTTCATTATTGTATCCGGACTGTTCCGTAGATTCTGTCATTGTATAATGGTTGTTGTTGTTATTCCTTATTTTCTCATTTGGAATTATAGGATGTGTTGGGCAGGTTTGTTCAGGTTGGTTGGGTTTAGAAACCAAGAGTTGCTGTCCAGGTTTTTGGTTCTTCGCTTGAGCGAGGAGTTGTTCGCTCGAGCGAGAGGTAGTGTTTGATTTGGACCTGTAGCTGTGCATTCTTGGCTCGAGCGAGCTTTTCTTCGCTCGAGCGAGTTAGTTCATCCTTCGCTCGAGCTATAGTTCCTTCGCTCGAGCGTGTGTTTGGGTTCAGACCTGAGGGTTT